GTATAATTGACATATAACATTCTTTTAGTTTCAGGTGTACAACATAATGATTTGATATGTGTATATATCATGAAATGATCACCACGATAAGTCTAGTTAAATCAGTCACCAAGTTACTATTTTTGTCATATGAGCATCTCAAGCTCAACCCTTCTGACACTCAACTCCTTACCCTCCCTCTAGACCTATCCCTCTTCCTGGAGTCCCTTTCTCATATTGTGGCACCATCATCAGCTCATCACCCCAGCAGAAACCTTGATTCCTCTCTCTCCCTCAACCCCGATGAAAAATCAATCACCAAAACTGGTTCATTTTACCCCCTAAATATTTCTTGAATCTGTCTTCTTCACCCTCTCCCTTTTGTGTCAGAGTAGATTATTGTTGACAATCACTCCCCCACCCTCCATGCAAAAGGATACTTCCTTGGACTCAGTCGCTTGTGCTCCTGCTACTTATCATGTGAACACTCTTCAGATAGCCTGATCCCCTGAGCCACAGTGACCCACAGACATGTGATCAAGAAGAGAAAGTCGGAGTGCCTGGGCGGCTCAGTTGGTTAAGTGTCTGCCACTCAGGTCATGATCCCAGGGTCCTGGGATAGAGTTCTGCGTCAGGCTCCCCGCTCAGCAGGGAGCCTGCTTCTCCCTCTCCCTCTGCCCCTCCTCCATGCTCGTTCTCTCGCTCTCTCTCAAATAAATAAAATCTTAAAAAAAAAAAAAAGAAGAGAAAGTCTATGCTTTGAGATTTTGTGGCTGGTTGCAATGCAATAAATAGTGACAGCTACCTAATATATCTTTCTTAATTTGGGCATTTGTCTTCTAATTGGTATTCTTGTCTAGCTTTATCCCTCTCACCTTCATCTTTCAAACAGCTACCAAGTTACTCCACTGAAAATATAAATCTGAGTTGATCTGATGTACTCAGAACTCTTTGAAAATGACAGAAACCAAATTCAAACCACCCTCAGCAAGAAAAAAAAACAAACAAATGAGAAGATACTGGTTTGTGTTAATCATCCAGGGATAGTTGCCCAAACAAGTTCATCAGGAATAGGTCTCCACTTCTCTCGGCCCCAATCTCTTCTATGGTTTCATTCTCAAGAGTGAATGCCACTAAGAGATTCCAGACTTAAATCCTACAATTTTGGGCACCTGGGTGGCTCAGTCGTTAAGCGTCTGCCTTCGGCTCAGGTCATGGTCCCAGGGTCCTGGGATCGAGTCCCACATCGGGCTCCCTGCTCAACAGGAAGCCTGCTTCTCCCTTTCCCACTCCCCCTGCTTGTGTTCCCTCTCTCGCTGTGTCTCTCTCCGTCAAAAAAAAAAAAAAAAAAAAAAAAATCCTACAATTTTATTAACCCCAAAAGAAAGTGGATAGTTCTTTGCTAATTGCTTCAACAAAAAGTCTGAACTGGTTTGGGCCAGATGACCTCCTTTGAACTAATCACTTTGACCAGGTATAAGCAGTGCTCAGCCTGGAGCCTGAGAATGGGATCATGTAACCTGAGAGTGGAAAGAAAAGTGTCCTGCCAGGGGAAGAGATGGGCTTTGTTACCAGAAGGCAGGATACCAAGCAGTCATAAGCCATCGATGTCCTAGCTTTGTTCTTCTGCCTGAAGTCCTTCGGTGGACTCCTCATGAGCATCAGGATGAACTCTCAGCCTCTTGGTATAAACTACAAGGCCCTCCATGACCTGGTCCTCTTTCACTTGTCAAGCGTCACCTTCCTGTTTACTATGTGACGTGCTCTTCAGGCTCCCACAACACTGCACATCACACCCCATGCAGCTACCAATCTTGGGTCATACGTCCCCTTCTCCTGATGCACCCATCCTCTTTCTCTAGCTAATTCCTACTCACTCCTGAAGCCCCCACTCAGGCCTCCCCTGGGTTGGAAGGATTTCTCTGGACCACCCTGTTCCAGGCTATGCTCCCAGAAAGACACACTTCAACCTTTCATTAACCCTGAGGAGTTTGGCATAGAGCAGCCACCCAGTAACTGCTGAGTGAATGGATGAAGAAAGAAAGAAAGGAATGAATGAATGAGTGATAGAGAAGAGTAGAAGCTCAATTAAGTATTTGTTTAATAAGTGACTTTGGTTTGAAATGGGAAATTTATTGCCTCATATAGATGAAAAATCCAAGGGCGAGCTGAATGGATGGATGGATGGATGGACGGACGGACGGACAGATAGATAGATAGATAGATAGATAGATAGATAGATAGATAGATAGATAGATAGATAAAGGGAGAGGAATGGATAGATGGCTGGATGGCTGGAAGGAAGAAAGGATAGGTGGAAGGGTACGTAGATAGATAAGTTGACTAGTAAACAAACCCCTCCTCTTCCAGTAGTTTGGGAAGTGGGCCAGAGCAATGGCATTCAAGTGATGGGCAGAGTCTGTGCAGACCTGTCTTTTAAAAGGTTCAAGTTAGGGGCGCCTGGGTGGCTCAGTCGGTTAAGCGTCTGCCTTCGGCTCAGGTCATGATCCCAGGGTCCTGGAATCGAGCCCCACATGGGGTTCCCTGCTCCGCGGGAAGCCTGCTTCTCCCTCTCCCACTCCCCCTGCTTGTGTTCCCTCTCTCGCTGTGCCTCTCTCTGTCAAATAAATAAATCTTTAAAATAATAATAATAATAATAAATAAAAGGTTCAAGTTATGTTTGAGTGGACATAATTCTGACCACTTTCCCCAGGCACTTGAGCCTCAGAGGGAGACAGACGAGTGGTACTGGATCCCCATGGAATCATTGGACTGTCTTTAAAAAGAAACTGGGTACTTTTTCCTGTTACAGATGAACTTCCTGGCAAAATGCAGCAAGCCTGTCACAGCTGAAGGTGGATAAAGCTTCCGATTTTTAAAAGCCCTCAGAGATCTGGAATTTAATGAAATGAGCATTTTGCACCATCCCAGGAGGAAGCAGAACAAACCACCGTCTGAATGTCTAAGGACCTGGAGCCTCCCTCCTTCGTTTGATTTGGTAAGAAGCGGAGTTTGAGGCCGTCAGTAACCAGGGAGATGAGCACCACCCAGCCTCAAAGCCTCACCAGCAGCTGAGAACTTTTTCCAGGAGTCCTGAGGGTGCACTCTGAGCCGCTTCTTCCCACACAAAGCCCTGTTTTGCAGCGTGAATTTCCATTAAGAGGGAGGAAGGGAAAAAAAAACAGAATTGTCTTAAAAAAAAATTGAAAGCAGTTCCCCGAGTTTGGCCTATCCCCAGTAAGCTGCAGAAAGAGGCCCCAAACTTCCTGATCCCCAGCTGCAAGCCCAGGCCTGTTTCCTGGCCCACTCAAAGTTTACCACCCCCAGGGACAGCGCAGGGCCCTGGGCCAGCTGACAAGGCCCGGTCTTTCCTGCAGTGTCTTTGGAAGATGTCAGGCTCTGCTGAAGGAAAAGGAACATTTTTTCAGGCTGAATTGCTTTACTTCTTGCCTTGCTTCTTTTCCTTCTCTTCAGCCTGGTTGCCTTGTCATCTCAAAAGACTCCCGTTCAGTTTCTGAGGTTTCTATGGCCAAAGAGAAGGGTCATTTCCAATAGCTTGCACTCACGCTCGTGCTCTCTCTCTCTCCCCCTTGATCGCTCCCTCCCCCTTCCATCCCCCTCCTCCTCCCCAACCACCCCCTCCCTCCCCCACCACCAGGGTGAAAAGAGAGGTCTCTCAAGGCACACACAGGCCTAGTGGACCAGTTGCCTACTTCTTTGTAGGCAGGTACATCCAAATGAGGAAAGAGAAATGGTCCCCCCTACGCACAGGCTTGGATTTGCATGCATTCACAGGGAAGACCCTCCACTTTAAACAGGACTCGACAGTGATGAACAGCATGAATCCAGGAGTCACATGACCTGGCTTCAGCTCTGGGTTCTGCTCCGTCCTGAATAGCCAAGCTCAAGCATGTGACTTAACCTCTAGGTACCTCAATGGCCTCATCTATAAAATGGGAGCGGTCGTGCCGGTTACCATAAAGCACCCCTGTAAACTCGTCAGCGGCAGTGCCTGGCACAAAGAGAAGACTCTAGAGCTTCTCTTCTCACTTCTGTTCCACAGAGTTACACCCACCCCTTCTGGCTGGCCCTCTCTTCTCACATCCCCAGGCCTGTCTTTCAGATGTGTCTGTCATCACGTATTTGCAAACATGTCCATTTGATTTCAAATTAAAATGCTTTCAAATTAAAAACAAAACACACGCAGGGTTGGTGTGGGGGGGAGGGTGGGTGAGGAAGAAAGGCTGACAGGCATGTTAGTAAACAGCGAAATATTTTTGAGGGCTGGATTCAGATAGCTCAGATGCTACAGGGTCCAAATTGACAGACTTTTGATATGAGGAGACACAGGGATCTCAGCAGAGGGGCAGTTTTCTGGGGATTCGAAAACAAGGAACATGCACCCTCCTCTTTCCTTCCCCTCCGCACTCAAGTCTCCCCTTCCGGGATGACCAGGCCCGTTGCCTTCCATTTGCTCCCATCACAGCCTGATCCTGATTGTTCCCATAATTCATTAAAAATTCTCCCAGTTAAATATTAAATTATTCATACCAACAGTGCGGAGCGAGCCAAATGAAAACGTTCCTGCTAGGGATGTGGGCTCTTCAGCCAGCTCTTGAAGAAAAGGAGAGAGAGAAAGAGAGCAAACCAACACCCGCACAGCCCAGTGGATGTTAGGAGAGGTCAGAAGTGAGGCAGCTGGGAGTCCCCAGAATGAGCACATGGCTATTCCCCGGAGCCAGAACAGTCTGCCACGGGGCTCGCCCATCTCCAGAAGCTGTGGGCAATGCCCACAATGAAGTGTGAAGACCTCTTTTGTCCTCTTCATGGAGAGCCAGGGAAATAGGATTCCTCACAGCTCCAAAGAGCAAAGCCTGAGGAGCGTACGTGCTGAAGGCAGAGATTTCTCTCTCCTCCTTCTGTCTGGAGGTTCTCAGGACTGGGCTTGTCTCAGGTTTCATTGGCCAAAGGCAGTTCCCGGAATGAAGTGAGGGTCTGGACCGACTCTAGAGGAAAGCACCTCAGCTCTTGGGTGCAGGGCTCCCATCCTTCAATGAGGTGTCTTGGCCATCTGCCGCCTCAGCACCAGCCTCCAGATTTGGCTCTTCTCCCCTGGGCTGTTCTCCGGGTTTCTGGGACTCCCCCACCACTTTGGTGCTCTTGCTTGTCAAGCACCCCATCTCACTTGGGAGCAGAGGGCCCAGGGCTCTGGGCTTTTCTGAGGAGGGTCTGTGCTGCAGCCGATCCTGCCATGCCAGGCTTAAATAACCCTTCCTCAGAGCACTATTGCAAGAGAACTCGTTCGGTTTCTATGGTCACGGGGAAAGGCCAAGTCTAATCTGCATAATAAACCCCAGACCCCCATCTATGAGGTGGGCAGGGCCCAGAAGGCTGACCCTCTGGACAACCCAGCTGGTTCAGAGCACCAGGTCCCATTCATCTCCCCGGAAGAAGCCCCTTCATTTAACCTTTAACTTCTTTACAGATTATAACCCCCCACCTAGTTACCTGTAAACAGCACCCTTTCTCTCCACACACAAAGAAAGCCCTGTCACTATGCAACAGAGCTGTGGCCTCCTTCCCTGTCCCAGGGTCACATTCAGTTCCCGGGGCTCACAGACCCCCCGCTTGGAGACCATCCCCTACCTTAGAATGTCAGCTCCACCCAGAGTTGAAGAATAGGGAGGCCTAAGACCGTGGACTCCAGGGGTTACCCAAACATGCTATGAAAAGAACCAGCAAGTATAGCATGCCACCCTGTGCCAAGCAAAGTTTACATTTATTATCTTGCTTAGTCCCCACAACAACCCTACGAGACAGGTTATATAATTTAAACCTCACTTAAGGGATGGAGCCACTGAGACACAGAGATAGCGAGTAATATATTTAAGGCAGTTACCAACAGCCTGAGTGAGGATTCGAACGCACGTCGTCTGGATTCCAGTCCCTCCATCACTGTACTAATCATATCTATTTGAAAGACCCCATCAGGTCTTCATACACCATCCTAGAGGTCATCCGTTTGGTAAACCTGTCATTGCTCTTTTTTTTTTTTAAGATTTTATTTATTTGAGAGAGAGCGAGCATGAGAGGAGGGAGGGGCAGAGGGAGAAGGAGACTCCCCCCTGAGCAGGGATCCGGATCCTGGGACTCGATCCTGGGGCTCCAGGATCATGACCTGAGCCGAAGACAGATACTTAACCAACTGAGCCACCCAGGCATCCTTGTCATTGCTTTTTTAATCTGGGCCACACAGGTAAAGGTTTTTGAAGCTGTGAGGGAATGATTTCAGATGTAAATGCTTCTGGAGTGAAGCCCACATGGTTCTGAACTGAAGTTAGCTACCCCAGGGCTCTATATCACTCCTGGTTTATTTTCTGATCACTGGGCTTTCCTTTTCCTAAATCTAAAAAGAGCCTGATGAGGGGTGCCTGGGTGGCCCAGTCACTTAAGCGTCTGACTCTTGATTTCAGCTCAGGTCATGATCTCAGGGTGGCAAGATGGAGCCCCGTGTCAGTCTGCATGCTCAGTGGGGAGTCTGCTTGAGATTCTCTCTCTTCCTCTCCTTCTGCCCTCCTCCCCACTCACACACTCACTCGCTCTCTCTTAAATAAATAAATAAATAAATAAATAAATAAATAAATAAATAAATCTAAAATAAAATAAAATAAAAGGAGCCTGATAAGCCTGGCCAGCTCCTAGGAAGCTGGAAAGAGGATCAAGCAGGTCTGTGAAGTGGCCTTTCAGAGAAGTACAAAATTTATTCTTTCCCAGGCATGCGCAGAGCACTCAAAAGGGACACCAATCCCGGGGCACCTATGGAGGGCAGATGCATGCCAGCCTCAGACAAGTTACAGAGTCTTCTTGTTGACTCCTTACAATCAAATTGTCCTACGGGGAAGTATTATTAATTTCACTTTAGAGTTGAAATCATTGAGTCCAGAGTGATTAGGTCAGTTGCCTGAGGTCATGCGCCTGCTTAGCAGCCAGCTCTGCAACCTCCCCACTCCCTGCTTCCTCCCACCCTCCACCCTCCCCCAGTGCCTCTGGTTAATACCATTCATCCTCCTGGACCTGGGCATTCAGTGATCTGCTTAAATGTAGTAAAACTCCCCATAAATCACCTTCCTTTGAATGAGCTTCTTGCCAACGAGGCTGGCAGAGAGACAATTAGAAGGCATTACGATGTTTGATTTATCTCTCCATATAAAAGCCAAAGTACAAAAGTACTTTGGGGGTGTCAGGGTGGAAGCGGGAGCTCCCCTTTGCCTTCCAATTAAGAGGCCCTAATTAAGGCAAATCCTCATTTGGATACTGGGATCCTAGGGCAACAATCCTCTTGTGAAGCCTCCAAATTAATCATGCTTAACCCAGCTCAGCACAAGAGACAGGCCACAGGAGCACCCAGGAGCCAGGTGTTACCCTGAGGTTGTGCTTGGGTTAGGTTATAGTTGTGGTCCGTAGGAGCGGATGAGGGCCTTTTGCTAACTCAACTGCTGAGAAGCCTTACCCAGCCTGTGACCTCCTACACCCAGGACAGGTTACATAATTTGTGGAGGCCCAGTGCAAAATTAAAATGTGGATCCCTTGTTCAAAAAATTATTAAGAATTTCAAGATGGTGGGATTCCTGGGTCGCTCAGTCAGTTAAGCGTCTGCCTTCGGCTCAGGTCATGATCGCAAGGTGTTGGGATTGAGCCCCGCATTGGGATCCTTAATCAGCAGGGAGCCTGCTTCTCCCTCTGCCTGCTGCCCACCCCCCACCCTGCCCCCGCTTGTGCTTTCTCTCTCTCTGACAAATAAATAAAAATAAAATCTTAAAAAAAAAAAAATTTCAAGGTGGTGACAGCAGAACTTTAAATGATGCACAGGGCTCCTGAGGCCAGCCCTGCAGGCACCTACCCTCTTCCTGAACATTCTCAGGCATGGGTTCACCTCTAATGAGGACTGTAATGTGCCAGATCACTAGCTGGCTCTGCCTAGGGGACATTGCCCTTGGGATAGAATGAGGCCAGAAGAAAGATAAGAGAAATGGGGTACAGATGATCCCAAAGATGGACGGGACCTCAGAAGGATACTTCCAAGATATTTTCAGCTTCAAACTGCTTCTTCAGCTATTACTACCTACAAAACATAGCACATAAAAAAATATCAATATCAACAAAATAACTCCCGACAGTACCCTATTTCGACAAGGTTGCAGAGAGACCGGAACTCTCAGAATGCAAAATGGTCCAGCCACTGAGGAAATCAGTTCGACCATTTCTTATAAAACTAAACGTACACTTACTGTAGAAAATTTAGTTGTATTAATCTGCTCAGGCTGCCATAACAAAAGACCACAAATGGGGTGGCTTAAGCAATAGACATTTTCTCACCGTTCTGGAGACTCTAAGTCCACGATCAAGGTGCTGGCAGATTTGGCTTCTGGTGAGAGATCCCTTCCTGGCTTTCAGAGGACCCCCCTCTTGCTGCATCCTCATGTGTGTGGCCTCTCCTCCATGTTCACAAAGAGAAGATGCCCTGCTGTCCCTTTCTCTTCTTATAAGGACACCAGTTCATTAAGATTTGGGCCCCACCCTTATGACCTCATTTAACCTTTATTACTTCCATAAAACCACTATCTCCAAAACAGTCACATTAGGGATTGGGACTTCAATATATGAATTGGGGGGTGGGGGACACATTCAGTCCATAACAGTACCCGAGGGAAATGAAGACCTGTGTTCACATGAAAACTTGTATGTGGACATTGAGAGCAGTTCTATTAATAATCAAAAACTGGAAACAACCCAAATGGGTAAATAAATTGGTATGTTCGTACAATGGAATACTACTCAGTCATAAACAGGAATAAACTATTGCTGCATGTAATAGTTTTGGGTGGTTTTTTTTTAGATTTTATTTATTTATTTGACAGAGAGAGAGACAGCGAGAGAGGGAACACAAGCAGGGGGAGTGGGAGAGGGAGAAGTAGGCTCCTCGCTGAGCAGGGAGCCCGATGCGGGGCTCGATCCCAGGACTCTGGGATCCTGACCTGAGCTGAAGGCAGATGCTCAATGACTGAACCACCCAGGCGCCCCTGCATGTAATAGTTTAAATGAATTTCAAAGACATTATGTGGGGTGAAAGAAGCCAGTCTCAAAAGGTTACCCTACTGTTTGAATCCCTTTATATGATATTCCCAAAAAGACAAAAATGTAGGGATGGAAAATAGCTGTGGTATCACTACAAAGTTACAGTTTGGGGGAGTTTTGAGGGTGGTAGAACTATTCTGTATTCTCTTCTTTTTCTTTTTTTTTTTAATTATTTTTTTTAAAGTAGGCTCCATGCCCTGCATGGATGGAGCCCAGCGTGGGGCTCGAACTCACGACCCTGAGATCAAGCCCTGAACTGAGAGCGAGAGTTGGAAGCCCAACTGACTGAGACCCACCCGGGCACCCTGGAACTGTTCTGTATACGAATTGCGGCGGGAGTTACCCAAATCTGTACCTGTGTTAAACTTCACAGCTTCATACACCAACATTTTAAGAAGTCAAATTTACTGTATACTAAGTGAGGAAGAATTTTTAAAAATTGTTTTAAAGATCATTCGAACAAAAAAATAAATAAAAACTGTTTGCCAGGAACCTAGGGGCTTATTTGCCATCTGGCCCTAGTTTTCAAGATCATTTAAATCCTTTTTCTGCTGCTTCTCACTCACTCACTCACTCAAGCAAACAAACAAATACACCTGCCCCTAATTTAGCTCAACAGCTGTTTACCCAGCTACATGCTACAAAGTTCCATTTTGGGCATGGTGCAGTTTCTAGAACCTTAGTGAATGGCACTTAAGGAGGCCTAGACATGGAGGCAGAGAGGGCTGAATACAGAGCATCACCTTATAGCTATGATTATAGGTCAGGAGAGTGGCCAGCCCAAGGCACCCTGCAGAAAGGGAGCTGGAGACATAACCAACCTATTCTCCTCCCTCCCTCTGGTCTGTCCCAGGGTTCTCACTGGCCAAATGCAAATTGAAGCCAGTGGGCATAGAAGCCTTTGGTCCTGCCCATCTAGGTCAGCCTCCCAGAACTAAGAGCAAGGTGGAGAACAACAGAGAGTGGATGTGGAAAGGCAAACAGACAATCTAGCACAACCAATGTGGATGCTGCTCTCTAGGGGCAATGAATCTGTTAGGGGAGGCAATATCTTCACAGGGAATTAAACTATGAGGTAAGCACTTTTAAACAGGGAAAAGGTTACACTGGAAAGAGAGAATAGGGGAGGGCTTCCTTGAGCTAGACCTAGAAGGATGAGCAGAATATTAGCCGGCAGAAGGAGGGAAAGGACATCATGGCCAAAATGAAGAAATGCAAATCCCTCCCGAGAAGTTCGGTTCAATTCACTTTCACTTATGAAAAGGAGGCTAATGGTCATGGTTAGAAGCACTGATTTCAGCATGAAAGGAACCTGGGATTGAATACTAACTCCACGGTGTACATGCTGTGTGACCTTCAGCTAGTTGCTTACCATTTCTGACTCTTAGTGTCCTGGACTTTGGGAAACCAAAGAGATAGTACATATATTTTTGCCATTGTACTTCATAACATCTGGCAGGCTTTGCAGGCACCAGAAAGTGACCAGACTTACTCCTGCCAATCATAGACACATTGCGACCCCCCAAAGTCAAATTGCCATTCAGTCCACGGGGCCAGCCTGCCAAGACCAAGTGTCTTTGGTCTCTTTAGCATTCCTGGCTCCTTCCTTCTCTAACCCTCCTTTGCCAGGGTCTTGACGACACCCTGCCCATGCCCCCACTACCCCCATGTGTGGGTTCTTCCCTTTTGGATTCTCACCCTCTTTAAGGAACATCACTCAGGAAGATACATATGCCCTTTCCTACTAAAAATAGGTTGCATCTCATAACATAACTTCGAAATTATTTAAAACACAAAATAAAACAAAATTCTCCCTTTGAAGGAAAGCGTGGATAGAACAAGAGGACAAGAGGGAGAAAAATGAGAATCCTTTGTCTATCCTGTCCCATATCTAAAACACAGTGTCCAGCACATGGTAGGTGCTTAACAGACAGTAGTGAAGTCCTCGAAGGTAAATATTCTGCAGTTGGGCAATCCAAACCGAAATCCCAGACACACCATTGGCTCTCATCCACCGAGGGCAACTTACATCACGAGTGTCAGTTTCTTCATCTATAAAATGGGAAACCCAATAGTGCCTACTTCACAGGAATATTGTGAGGTTTCAAATCAACAGTCGATCTGAAATTCTTAGCGCCTAAGCCATCACCAATAATAATACTTCTGATTATTATGGACGCTACTTCTACCTGTCAAACACTGTGCTGTCCCTCACGGAGACCCCCGATGGAGAACCCACTGAGAAAACGGACCCGTTGATAAGTGCAGTTTCTGAAACACTGTGATTCGTGGAAGGAGAAAAACAGCAGGAGAACTCAGAGGGAAAGTCCTTAGAAAAACCCTTAACCTCATCAGGTGATACCTGACGTCAGAATCCCAGAGGTAGTGATCTAGGACTTTGCCCAGGCATGCTCTGGGGCACAGTGGAATGAGGGGGAGGGAGCTCTTGCAAGGACTGGGGCAAGAACGATCTGGAAATGACTCAGAGACACTTTAAAGTGAAAGAATGGAAAATGTCCCTGTCAGCACTTCTCTGACCCATTCACCTTCACCAGAGCACCAGCCTGTCATGTGTAAGCTGGGGCCGGGTTCTATCAGTCACACACACACACACACACACACCACCCCTTGCCCTTCCAGGTGATATCTCCTCCTTCTCTTCCTCTGCCCCTGAAGGTCACTTGGACCACATTCTATCAGTACAGAGAGGCCAAAGATGAAGTAGGCACTCACACAGGTCAGAGAAATGGCCAGGATAAGAAAGCATTTCCCATACAGCCTTGCAACACTTGTATCCATCACCAGGCCACTCTGCCTTGGGTGCCCCATACATTGACTTTTTGTATGGTAAGTCCTGTACTTATCCTGTGAGGAGCTCCATTCCATCGCCCTGAATTTTTGTGTGTGCTGAAAGTGTTAATTTGTGACATTAAATGTGAATTCAATGAGGACAGAGATTTTGGGGTGTTCTGCCCGTTGTTGTATCCCTCCTTTGTGGAAAGGTGTCTGGCACATAGTAGATGCTCAGTTAACGTTTGCTGGGGGGAAGAAATAAATGAAATGTAAACACTTTAACTTGTCCACCATCTTTGTAACCCTGTTTTGGCATGTCTTCATAAAAAAATAATAAATACTGGAAGCCTCAGGAAAGGGAGGCAGCTTAGGGTCCCCACTACTCTCAAAAGCCTGGGGCACCTGGGTGGCTCAGTCCGTTAAGCATCTGCCTTCGGCTTGGGTCATGATCCCGGGATCCTGGAATCGAGTCCCCTATCGGGCTCCCTGCTCCCCTATCACCTCTCCTCCCCACTTGTGCTCTCTCTCACTATCTGTCTCTCTCTCTCAAATAAGTAAAATCTAAAAAAAAAAAAGAATTTAAAAACAACCACCAAAAAAAAGCCTGATAGTGGGACTCCCCTGGACATTGCTTAATTATCAGCTAACAGGTGCTCAGCCTAGGGCAGTTCTATTTTGCCCCCCTCCCTTTCCCAGCCTCCCCAACCCCCCAGGGGTTAAGGGGTGGCTACTGGCATTTAGTGTCAGGGGGTCAGGGGAGGTTAGATGTCCTGAAGCACCAGGAAAGCCCCAACCAAAAAAAAAAAGCCATCGGCAGCCGGGCTGAGAAAGATGACCCGGTTTGCCAACTCCTAAGGGACCTGACTGTGTCTCCCAACTCCACACAGGGTCTGACACAGACTGGGGGGGGGGGGGGGTGTCTAATAAACCTCAGCCAAAGAGAGGGGAGGGAACAAGGTAGGAAGGAGGGCAAGGGGGTGAGGGGGGGTAAAAAGAAGAAAGGGTTGGTGGGAACGGAAAGGCCTCCCTGGGCTTGAGAGAAACCCAGTCCCTTGCATCTTCGGATGCTCCCAGATTATTTCAGAAAGAGGCTGTGCCAAACTGGGACGCACTAAAAGCCGTCGGCTGAAAAGACAGATCTCTGAGCGCAGCCAGGAAAATCCCAGGATGGCTCCCAGGCCAGGAGCCAGGGCCTGGCTGGCCCTCGCTGCCCCCGAGAGGAAGTTCAGCAAGGTCGGGTCCCGGCGCCCTCTGCGGAGGGAAGGTGGTGCGGGGCGGCGGGGGTCGGCGCCCGGGGTTCGCAGGCGCGCTGGCCAGCCGCCCACGTGGGAAGGCCGGCTGCATTTCCGCCCGCGGCCGCGCTCGCTCCCACCTCCCGGCCGCGGCCCCCGCGCCGCCCCCGCGCGCCCGCTAGGTGGCGCCTGCGCTCTAGTGGGCGCCTCTCCGGCGCCGGCGAAAGCCACGGCGGAGCCCGGCGGCCGAGCGAACCTGAGCCCCAGGATTCCGGGGACTGGAGGGCAGCGGCGGCAGCCAAGGTAGGATTCCTGAGCCTCGGGCGTTTCCCTCGAGCCTCTGCGGTCGGGCTGGGCAGCGCGGCGGCCGCCGAGCCCCGCGCGCGGTGCACGCGCGGATCCGGAGAAGTCGGAGCGGCCGCACGTGTTGTTGCCTGAGGGGACCCGGAGCCCTGCAGTCTCCAAGCTGGGCCTAGGGGCAGAGCAGAACCAGCAGGTCGCTGGCACGCAGCCGTCCTCCACTAGCCTGTGCCTCCGGAAAGCGTGCCCGGATTCCCCGAACGGCAAGTCCGAAAAGGAGAAAAGAGTTACTGGTACCCAGAGCGACTACCCCTTTGCAGCCGAGTGCCGGTAAGATCCAGAGAAGCATTCTCAAACTTGGCTGCACGTTGGGATCTCTTGGGGGATACCCCACCCCACCCCACCCCACCCCCAGACTCAAATATAAGTGGTCTGGGTTGGGACCTGGGCATTTGGATATTTAAAAGCTTCCCAGGGGATTGCAATTAGCAGCTAAGTTTGAGGACCCTTGGTGTAAGGTTGGAGATGTAAGCCCCGAATGCTGATTCTTCTTCTCTCACCCCCCACCCCCACCCCCGCCTGTCCTCCTCCTCCTTCCTGCTTTTGAAGCAGGAAATATCTCTGCCTTTGAGCTGTCAAACCCAAGATAACAAGCCAACACCTCCCCTCCAATAGGGCTGGTTCTGAAAGCGTTAAACTCAGAAGTGGGCAGGGAACAGAAAGACACTGATGTGGAATGGGAGAGAAGACTCTGGAGCTGCCCTCATCGTTTTGGTAAATGTAGCTGAAGAGGCAGAGTAAGCGCCCCTGTAAGTAATAAAAATGATCCCATGTATTTACATAACAAGCAAAGTGGTTACCAGCATGGGCTTGGAGTCCCCGGAGCTAGTTCAAGAATTCATGGAACCACGTGTGGCCTCAGTTTCCCCATCTGCAAAATGGGTTTGAGGGTATAAACCTCTCAGAGTTGTTGTGGGAATTATTAACAATTAAAGGTCATGTTGCCTGAGCGTCTACCTGTGCTAAGTGCTTTCTGTGCATTGTCAATTTTGACTCCTCCATCATGGCCCACAAGATAGTCCTATAATTACCCCACATGGGTAGAAGAAGCTGGGCCTCAGGTCAAGGAACATGCTCAGGGTTATGTAATTAACAAGAAGCAGATTCTGGGCAATCTGACGCTAGGGCCCATGTGCAGAAGTAATCTGCTGTTTCCCTCATTGAGGGAATGTAGCGAAAACACTTAGCACAAGGCAGCTCGTGATGCATTTTCCATTAACAACGGCTGTCATTGCTGCCAACACAGCTCTTTCACCAAACTGACTCATTCGTTCATTCACGATCTAGTCGTTATTAAGAGCCTACTATGTACCAGGCGGTTTCCCAGATGCTAGACATAAAACGGTGAGTAAGCCAGAGGTAAACTGGCTCGCAGTGAATTCACACTCCGGTGAATGAGAGAAATGAGAACAAGTAGAGTGGATCCTCACTTTTTGCAGATTCTGTGGTCGCAAATTCTCCAACTCGCTAGAATGCATGTGTAACCCTAAAATCGATATCCACAGCGCTTGTGTGGTCATGCGTGGACATGGGCAGAGTGGCCGAAAATTGGAGCTGCCCAACATGCACGTTTCCAGCTGAGGTCAACACAAGGCAACACTCTGCCTTCTGGTGTTAGCTCTCATACAGTAAACGAGTGTCCTTTTTGTGGTCTGTTTCATGCCATGTTTGCTGCATTTTTGTGCGCTTTTTTTGGTTGGTGATTTCTGTTTAAGATCGCCCCCAAGCATCATGTTCAAGTGCTGTCTAGTGCTCCTAAGCATGAGAAGGTTGTGATGTGCCTTACAGAGAAAATATGTATTTGATAAGCTGTGTTCAGGCATGAGTTGTAATGGTTTTGGCTGTGAGTTCAATATGACTGAATCGACAATGTATATGAAGTTAGGGGTCTTTAAACAGAAACACACATAATACAGGGTTAGGTGTTGATCTGTCGATGAAAATATGACCAGAGGCTCCCAGAAACCTAACTTTAGGTTTTTCCCCTAGGAGCAATGGTTCAGTATTTGCTAACTCCATATTCATGGCAACTTTATAGAACATAGCTGCTGTGAATAGTGAGACTTGACTGCAGTTAGACTTTACTGCACATGCAATGAAAGAATCAAGGTGGAGAGGCATAAGGAAGGGACCTGCCTTAGATTGGGTGTCAGAAAGGTTAGAAGCGGCCAGGCACGGCATGGGTGGGAGGAGGAAGAAGTGTTTCAGGCAGAAAAAGTAGCATGTGCAAATGCCCGGAGGTCACCAAGGGCTTGGTAAGGTCAGGAAACTCCAGGAGAGCCAGTGTGCAGGGAGTGTGGTGGGCAAAAAGAGCAGAAGTGCAATAATAATAATAATATGCTGGAGACAGAGGCTGGAGCCAGGTGGCACTGTGTGTTTTGTGGGCAGGTCTCATTTCATCCGATTAGCACAGTAATCCTGGCAGGCTGGTCAGGATGGTTTCCCCCTCTCACAGATGATGAAATCGATGCCCTATGTGGTTAAATACCTTATCCAAAGTTACACAGCTGGTAAGCAGCAAAACCGACCTCTAGTACCTCCCTCTTAATCTAATGCTGAACAGACATTTGAGTATTGATCAGAGATCTTAGGACCTAGTCCTGGGCTGGAGATTTGGTTTGGCCTGTGGAGGAATCAGTAACTAAGTGGATGCAGAAGCCATCAAGCATGGATGAAACTACTTGGGACAGTGCGCAGAGTGTGGAGGAGAAAAGTCCTCATGCCCTTTAAAAATAAAAATATTCCTGGGGCGTCTGGGTGGCTCAGTCGTTAAGCGTCTGCCTTCGGCTCAGGTCATGATCCCAGGGTCCTGGGATCGAGCCCCACATCGGGCTCCCTGCTCAGCAGGAAGCCTGCTTCTCCCTCTCCCACTCCCCCTGCTTGTGTTCCATCTCTCACTGTCTCTCTCTGCCAAATAAATAAATAAAATCTTTAAAAAAAAAATTAAAATATTCCTGCTATAAAACCATTAATGCCTCAGTGACAGAGTCCCAGTTGCCTGCAGGGGCAGAAAGAGTAGTGAGGGTGGGCACAAAGATGTAGAAAAAGGAAATGTGAAGGTCTGATCTAAACTACCCCCAAAATACTAGGTCTGGCATTGGGTCTCCCTATCCGCAGGGCAGCCAGGTCTCAATCTGCCTCTTGTCGCTACAGGACAATGATCTTAAGCAGGGGTCAGCAAACCTTTTTCTGCAAAGGGCCAGATAGGAAATATTTTGAGCTTTGTGGGCCATATGGTTTCAGTTGGCATCTTCTCGCTTCTGTGGTTGTAGAGGAAAAGCAGCCTTAGAAGGTATGGAAAGGAGTGTGTTCCAATAAAACTTTATTTATGGACACTGAAATTTGGATTTCATGTGACTTTAATGTGTCACAAAATGTTATTCTTCTTTTGATTTTTTTAAAGCCATTTAAAAATGTGGGGGCGCTGGTTAGGTGTCTGCTTTACAGCTCAGGTCACCTGGGGTCCTGGGATCGAGCCCCGCATCGGGCTCCTTGCTCAGTGGGGAGTCTGCTTCTCCCTCTCCCTCTGCCACTCCCCCTGCTTGTACACTTTCTCGCTTTCTCAAATCAATAAATAAAATCTTTTTTAAAAAAATTTAAAAAGATAAAAACCATTCTTAGCTCATAGTTGCACAAAAACAGGCAGTGGGTCGGTGGGCTGTGGCCCATGGGCTATAGTTTGCCAACTCTTTATCTGGAATCCTGAGACCTAAGGGTCGTAAGAATACCAAATGTCCGGGCGCCTGGGTGGCTCAGTTGGTTAAGCGACTGCCTTCGGCTCAGGTCATGATCCTGGAGTCCCGGGATCGAGTCCCACATCGGGCTCCCTGCTCGGCAGGGAGTCTGCTTCTCCCTCTGACCCTCCCCCCTCTCATGTGCTCTCTCTCTCTCAAATAAATAAATAAAATCTTTTAAAAAAAAAAATACTAAATGTCCATCTAGCTAAATCTTTACCTGACCCATGAATCTCCGTCGACTGTTCTCAGCTATTTGAGCTCCCCCAATAAAATGGAACTCATTCCGTTGCTAGAAGTTTGAACTATACCATAGTTGGGGTTTCCCCAAACCCAGATCATGAGGCAAGGATTTGGGTGTCAGACTTTACTGGTGAAGTGATCCCAGAGAGCCGAGGTGAGAGTGAGGTAGACCCTGGGAAGGGAGGAAAACCGATGAAGGACGTGTTGGTAAGCGAGTTAGCACCAGGGCAATGGCTCAGTCTTACTGGGGAACCCTTGGAGAGATTGTGTGTACCGTGAAGAGGCAAGGAAGCTGGGGTATTTCCCTCCCTCCTCAAGGCCTCCCCACTTCTGCACTCTCTCTGAGGTCCACATCACCCCAGCCAGAAAATGCCTTCGGGTGAGAAGAAGAGGTGGCGGGTGCAACTGGAAATGGTCCACAGGCGGCCTCCGGGGGGCGCTGACGAGCATGGGTGCCCTACAAAGTGTTTCTGATTTGGGTTATTTTTTTTTAAGATTTTATTTATTTATTTGAGAGAGAATGAGAGAGGGAGAGAGCATGAGATGGGGGAGGGTCAGAGGGAGAAGCAGACTCCCCGCTGAGCAGGGAGCCCAATGTGGGACTCAATCCCGGGACCCCAGGATCACGACCTGAGCCAAAGGCAGTCGCCCAACCAACTGAGCCACCCAAGCACCCTCTGATTTGAGTTTTTTAAGTGTGTGCTGCATACCCCTGGGGGCCTTGTGAGATGATTTGGTGTGGAATGGAGTCACGGAGCTAAAGGACATGAAGTCTCAGACTAGGATAGGTATTCCCTTTGTAAACTGCCTCTTTGATCCTGCCCTGCTGCTCTCTCTCCCCAGTCTAGGAGCTCCAGGCGCCCTGGCCTTGTACTTCCTGGAACTTGCCAGACTCTCTTCTGACTATAGTCAACAAAAGAGGTCTTAGTGAAGTACCAGGCTAGCTTGTCTCCCTGTTTTTATGGAAAAGACAGCAGTCCTCCAATTCAGGGCATTGAATGGGCAAGAGTGGTCAGCTAAAATTTAAGAACATTGTTGTGTTTATTTTTACAGTTTCCACCTATACATGGCAAGTGTTTCTGGCTCCACATTCACAGTAGTAATATAAAGTGTTTTCTTTAAAATACATTAACGGGGCGCCTGGGTGGCTCAGTTGGTTAAGCATCTGCCTTCGGCTCAGGTCATGATCCTGGGGTCCTGGGATCGAGCCCAGAGCCCAGCATGGGGCTCCCTGCTCAGCCGGGAGCCTGCTTCTCCCTTTCCCTCTGCCCCTCCCCCCACTCGTGCTCTCTTTCTCTCTCAAATAAATAAAAAAATCTTTAAAAAATAATAAAATAAAATACATTTACATAATGTGTCTACTTAGAGAAAAATATGATAAAAATGATAGTTGCCACTTACTGAGCACTTAGTACGTGCTTGACGTTATTCAAAGCCCCTGCCAGGCATAATTTAATTACTCCTCACCACAGTTGCATGGGTTAAGTCCTACTTGACGTAGGTACTATTATTAGCTGAGAAAACAAGCATAGGGAAGTTAAGTAACTTGCCCAAAGTTATATAGCCAGTAAGTGACAGAACTGGAAAGTAAACCCAGATTGTCCTGCTCCACAGTTTATGTTCTTTTTTTAAAAAAAGATTTTATTTATTTGAGAGAGAGAGAGAGCCCTTGAAGATGAGCTGGGGGGAGGGGCAGAGGGAGAGGGAGAAGCAGGCCTCCTGCTGAGCAGGGAGCCCCAAGGATGCAGGACTGGATCCCAGGACTCTGGGATCACAACCTGAGCCATAAAGCAGATGCTTCACCGACTGAGCCACCCAGGCCGCCCACAGTTTTGTGTTCTTAATGGCAGGATGACACTGCTTCTCACAAACTTGACAAAAGAAAAAAGAAAAAAAGAGTGAAGATATTATTTGGCTTACTGATGGTGGAGGAAGCCTGCCATAAGAGGTTCCTCTTTCTCATCCAGCTGAAATCTGTCTCCCTGAATCTGCCACCCCTTGGTTGTCATACTTTCTTCTGGAGCCTCAGGGAACAAATCTGTCCCCTTTTCATCCCTACAGTCCTTCAGATATTTGATGACGGGGAACCTGGCTGGCCCTCCCGGATCTTCCCTGTTCTAGATTAAACATTGCCAGTTCCTTCTGCTTCTACTCTATCGTGTGTTCTCGGCATCTTCCCCCAAGCAAAGAGCCCCTTTCTTCCTTATTCCTGTGTATCCCATAGAACCTATGATGTTGTTTTTGTTGCTGTACCTTTTTTTTTTTTAGGGCCCTTGCAGCTCATTCTGGGCTCAGGGTGGATGGCTGTGGTTGGGGTGATTGATGAGGCAAAGAGCAGCTAGATAATGATGTCCAGAGGGAGATTGTCACTCAGAGAAAGCCCCCCAGGGCCAGCATCACTCGGGGGGAGGGGGGGAGACGAGGCGGCTGGACGCTGGTCATGCTCATTTTTTGCAGGCCTGATATGGGGCTTCCTTGGTGCACATGGAGCTAATCAGGCTGAAAGGGACAGACTAACCAAATTCACAGGAGCCTGGTAGGGAAGCCAGACCACAAGTATATTAAATCACAATGGCACAGGCACTGAGGCAGCCTGAAAAGTTTATGTCAGCCTGTCAGCACATTCTTTCATCGGTAGGGAAGCCCGCATGGGAAGCCAAATTCTAGTTAGGAGGTTGGTATTCACAGGACCAAGAAGAGGTAAGCAGGATGAATGATTTTAATAGCCAGGATAGCCTGAGATACTTGTATTCTCTGGAGGATACAAAGGTCCATGGCGGCACCTCTGCCGCCTTAGTCCTCATCCCTGTGCTCGTGGTAGACGTGACTAAAATCAGTGACCAAATCTTTGCCTTCCTACCGCTCCCTGGACCAACCTTAAGATCCTTATCAGGAAGGCGCCTGGGTGGCTCAGGCTGTTAAGCGTCTGCCTTCAGCTCAGGTCAGATCCCAGGGTTCTGGGATCGAGTCCTGTATCAGGCTCCCTGCTTCTCCCTCTACCCTTCCCCCCCTGCTCGTGATCTCTCTCCCTCTCTCTCTCAAATAAATAAATAAGATATTTTTAAAAATGATCCTTATCAAGTGGGTATTCCAGGAGGCCCTGGCCAGCCGTCTGAGCTGCCTGTAATGCTCAAGAGTTTCCAGAAATCCCACTGCTCTGGGCAATGGGAGATAAGATAGACTCTCAGAGACTTCTCTTTCGTATCATTTTTGCTGAGCTCCTCACCCTTCACCATCTCCGTCTACCTAATATTCCTTCGGCTTATGTTAATACAATTGGCCTTTTTTTTTTTTTTTCTTCTCATTGTCAAGTCTTGATTTGATTTCCAGGCCTTGCTCTTCCTGCTTTGTCCAGAGGCACATCCTGTCCTGTCTTAAGAACTTCGGCAGATCAGTAATTACAGATACTGTGTGTGGATTCCGCTGATGATACTCTCCCTGCATTTGGGGGTGACTTGCTGTATACCTTCCAGTAATAACTTCTTGCAACTGAGAAGCGGTTTTCTGGGTTGCTGAGCTCTGTTCTGCCTGCGACTAGCCGGGTCCTGAAGAGGCAGCTAGGGCACCAAACCCAAGAGATCATTGAGTTTGCTGTCACGAGCATTGATTATGCTTCTCTTAGTGTTGGGAGACGTATTATTTTAGAGCAAGCTGACTTTTTGCCAGCTTTGAGAAATGTGTGTTTTGGGACGCCTGGGTGGCTCAGTCTGTTAAACGTCTGCCTCTGGCTCGGGTCGTGGTCGGTCCCGTGGTCCTGGGATCGAGTCCGGAATCAGGCTCCCTGCTCGGCGAGGAACCTGCTTCTCCCTCTCCCTCTGCCTGCCACTCCCTCTGCTTGTGCTCTCTCACTTGCACTCTCTCTCTCTCTCTTTGACAAATAAATAAATAAAATCTTTTAAAAAACAAAAAAGAAATGTACGTTTTGTCCAGGGCCTCTCGTCCCACCCGTCTGAAGAAACTTGACTTCCCTAAAAGGGAGACAAAATGCACACGGAGAATCCGTGGCACCTGGGGGCCACTGCGGGAAGCCTTCTTGAGATCCTCCAGAGGAAAAGCGGGCCCTGCCCTCAGGGGCTGCTGGACTGCCCAGTCTGAGAGGGGAGATCCAGTTCTCATACCAGGAAGGCTGCCAGTCTGATGAGAGAGGCGCCATCCCTAGCCTCGGGGAGTCTGATGGAGGAGAGGCATACAGTATCCTTGGTGTGAACTATTTCCCCACCCCTGAAGATATCACTATATCTGCGTCTTCTCTTAAGTCAGTCAACAGGCAGGGAGGGGGAGGGGGGCCTGCTTCATTCACAACTCTAATACACTTGTGCAAAGGCACAAACAGGGCCACAGCTTCTGAGGGTCAGGCTGGGGATTTTTTTTTTTTTTTTTTTTTTTAGATTTTTATTTATTTATTTGAGAGAGGGAGCACAGGAGGGGAGGAGAGGGAGAAGCGGGCTCCATCCCAGGACTCTGGGATCATGACCTGAGCCAAAAGCAGGTGCTTAACCAACTGAGCCACCCAGGCGCCCCAATTTTTTAATAGACTTTTTTAGACCAGTTTAGATGTACAGAAAAATCGAGATGATAGTCCAGAGAGTTCCCATATGCCCCACACCCAGTTTCTGCTATTATTAAAATGAACAAATGTGCTATGGTACATTTGTTACAATCAACAAACCAATATTAATACATTCTTAGTAATCAAAATCCATGGTTTATTCAGACAGATTTTCTTAGTGTTTACCTCCTGTCCTTTCTCGATTCCAAGACCTCCGCCAGTATCCGGTATCACATTTCGTTGTCACATCATCTTAGGTTCCTGCTGGTTCCTTGTCTTGAATGACCTTCCCACTTTTTTTTTTTTTAATTTTTTTTAATTTTTATTTTATTTTTTTTTTTTTAAGATTTTATTTATTTATTTGAGACAGAATGAGAGAGACAGAGAGCACACGAGAGGGGGGAGGGTCAGAGGGAGAAGCAGGCTCCCTGCCGAGCAGGGAGCCCGATGCGGGACTCGATCCAGGGACTCCAGGATCATGACCTGAGCCGAAGGCAGTCGCTTAACCAACTGAGCCACCCAGGCGCCCTCCTCCCCACTTTTGAGGAGTACTGGTCAGGTACGTTGTAGAATACCCCTCTGGTGGAATCTGCCTGGTACTTTTCTCAGGGTGGGACTGGGGCTGTGGGTTTTGGAGAGGAAGGCCACAGAGGTAAAGTGCCATTTTTGTCACATCTTAGCAAGCACCCCTGATGTCAGCACGACCTAGCACTGTTGACCCTGAGCTCGATCACCTGACTAAGGTAGCGTTTGTCAGGGATCTCCACCATCACATTACTCTGTTTCCCCCCATCCCATCCCATTCCATACCCTTCTCTTGGAAGGCAGTCATTACCTGCAGCACATGCTTGAGGGACTGGGGAGTCCTGTTGTCCCTTCTTCGGGGCAGTGTATCTACATCCTTTATTTGGAATTCTTCTGCACAGGTGATTTAGCTCTTTTCTCCCATTTATTCATTTCTCATTTTTTTTTTTTTAAATAATAGTGTGGACTCATGGGTTTTATTTTATACTCTGGGTTATAATCCAGTACTGCCTAGTCTTGTTGCTCAAATTATTCCATCTCTGGCCCCTGGGAATGGAATTTGTGGGTTTGTTGGGGTTTTTTTGAGATTTTATTTATTTATTTGAGAGAGAAAGAGAGAGCTCGAGTAGGGGCAGAGGGAGAGGGAGAAGCAGGCTCCCCAATAAGCAGGGAGCCCAATGCGGGGCTCAATCCCAGGATCCTGGGATCATGACCTGAGGCGAAGGCAGACGCTTAACTGACTGAGCCACCCAGGCGCCTTGGAATTCGTGTTTTTAAACCAGCTCCTGCGGCATTTCTTGTACGTATGAGAATTTGAGACCCACGTAGGTCTGAGTTCATGGCCCCCGCTCCACCACTTACTGGCCCTGGGGGTGCTCTTGGCAAGGCGTTGAAGCAGTGGGACCTCCGCTTTCTTAGCTGAGGCTGGAGCTAATGTTGTTACCTACCACATGGGATTATTGAGTCAGATGTACACAGTAAGTCCTCTGTACATGCACATTGTTGTTATTGTTAGTTTGGCATTCACATTCCTTCCGGATCTGCTCCAGGAGGTTACATACCAAGGCCAAAAGCGCCTTACCAATACTTACCTTCCCAGACGACAGGCTTGTGCGGCCCATATTCTGGTACCTCGTCACCTTCTCCCCGGTCACCTCCTCTTCCTGGTGAACCAGCATTGTCTCCCACCTTCTGTCTCTGAGTCACACCACACTCCAGACAAACAGACAACCCATCTAAAGTGCCCTCTGCCAGGTCACACAGACACACATCCTCATTCCTCCCAGACCCCCTGAAACAGCACTTCCCTCTGTGACACCACCTGACAGCCAGGCAAGAAGTCCCCTCTTTTCCTGTCACCTACCAGAGGGCCCGCTCTGCCCACTCTTGCCTCACAACCCTTATCACTTTAGACCCTGCATTGGAGCAGGGGGACTGTCTTCCCTGAATAGTGCTCATCTCTGTTCATCTTTCTATCCCACCTGAGCACGAGGGGCTCCCCACGCCAGCCGGTGGTCTTGTTTGCACCTCTCTAAGTTTTGACAAGACCAAAGGAGTAGGGGGAAGGACATATCCTGGGAGCTGACTGGGCTTAACTGGACAGACAGCCTGTGAGGGCAGAACTTCTCAGAGGTTGAGAGGCTAACTCTGGGTCACGTATATATATATATGTGTGTGTGTGTGGGTATATACACACTCATCATATCATGGCAGGGAAGGGGGGCTAATATATATATTAATTATGGGAAAATGTACATGACATAACATTGGCCATTTTAACCATTTTAAAATGTACGGTTTGGGACACCTGGGTGGCTCAGGCGGTGAAGCGTCTGCCTTCGGCTCAGGTCATGATCCCAGGGTCCTGGGATCGAGCCCCACATCGGGCTCCCTGCTCAGTGGGGAGCCTGCTTCTCCCTCTCCCTCTCCTTGTGCTCTCTCTGTCAAATAAATAAAATCTTTTAAAAAAATAAATAAATAAAAATAAAGTGTACGGTTCAGTGACATTGAGTACATTGACATGGTTGTATAACGAACCATCGCCACCATCCATCTCTAGAACTTTTTCATCTTCCTAAACTCATGAAACAATGAGTTTAATTGTTGGCTTAATTTCAATTTCCTCCCCATTCCCCCCTTCCTCAAGCCTCTGACACCCATCTTTCTACTTTCCGTCTCTATGATTTTGACTACTCTAGGTACCCTGTACCCATGGTATAGTGTAATATTTGTTCTTTTGTGACAGGCTTGCTTCGCTTGGTATGATGTCTCTAAGGTTCATCCGTGTTGTAGCAGGTGTCAGAATGTCCTTTTTTTAAGATGGAATAGTATTCTATTGTATGTATATATGGCATCTGGTTTATCCAGTCATCTGTCCATGGACACTTGGGTTGCTCCCCATTGGGAATAATACTGCGATGAGCGTGAGTGTACAAATATCCCTGCTTTCAGTTCTTTTGGGTATATATCCAGGGTGAAATCTCTGGATCGTAAGATAATTCTGTTATTTTATTTGGGGGGAATTGCCATAGCATTTCCATAGTATCTGTACCATTTTTCATTCCCACCAGCAATGCACAAAGGTTTCTATTTCTCCACATCCTTGTCAACATTTGTTATTTTCTGGGGTTTTTTTGATAATAGCCGTTCTAATAGGATCTCATTTTGGTTTTCATTTCTGTTTTCCTGATGACTAGTGATGTTGAGCATCTTTTCATGTGCTTATTGGCCATTTGAATATCTTCTTTTTTTAAGATTTTATTTGTTTATTTGACACAGAGAGAGCGCGCACATGAGTAGGCAGAGCGGCAGGGAGAGGGAGAAGCAGGCTCACCACTGAGCGGAGAGCCTGCCATGGGACTTGATCCCAGGACCCTGGGATCATGAACTGAGCCAAAGGCAGACGCTTAACCGACTGAGCCACCCAGGCACCCCCATTTGTATATCTTCTTTGGAGAAATGTCTGTTAAGTCCTTTGCTCATTTTTGAAACAGGTTGAGTTTTGTGTTTTTGTTTTTGTTTTTTTGCTGTTGAGTTGTAAAAGTTCTTTGTATATTCTGGATATTCATCCCTTATCAGATATATGATTTGCAAGTATTTTCTCCCATCCTGTCTTTTCACTATGTTGATAGTGTCCTTTGACACACAAAAGTTTTTAATTTTAATGAAGTTCAGTTTGTCTATTTTTTCTTTTGTTGTCTATGCTTTTGGTGGCATCTCTAAGAAATCGCTGTCAAATCCAATGTCATGAGGCTTTTACTCTGTGTTTTCTCATAGGAGTTTATAGTTTTAGATTTTTATGTTTAGGTCTTTGATCCATTTTAGGTAATTTTTATATATGGGATAAAGTAAGTATCCAGTTTCATTCTTTTGCATGTGGAGATCCAGTTCTCCCAACACCATTTGTTGAAAAGACTGTCCTTTCCTCGTTGAATATTTTTGGCCCCCTGTTGAAAATCATTCGACCATACACGTGAGGGTTGATCTCTAGGCTTTTTATTCTATTCTGTTGGTCTAAATGTCTGCTTGTATACCAGGAGCACACTGTTTTGATTACTTTACCTTTGTTGTAAGCTTTGAAATCAAAAAGTTTGAGTCCTCCTGCTTTGTTCTTATTTTTCAAGATTGTTTTTGGCTATTTGGGGTTTCTTGAGATTCCATATGAATTTCACTGTGGATTTTTCTATTTCTGAAAAAAGCATCATTGCATTTTGATAGAAATTGCATTGAATCTATAGATCGCTTTGAGTAGTATTGACATCTTAATGTTAAGCTTCCCTATCTATGAACATGGGATGTCATTCTATTTATTTGTATCTTCTTTCATTTCTTCCAACAACATTTTGCAGTTTTCTGTGTACAAGTCTTTCACCTCCTTGGTTATATTTATTCCCAAGTATTCTTCTTTGATGCTTGTTTCCATTTTTTGAGGGTCTTGATATATTGAAAAACAAAAAAATACAAACAAGATATCAGAATGGTGGTCAACTTAAACTGTATGGTCCTCTCAGTGTTTCTCAAGGGCAACATATGTAGACCGTGATAAAATTATATAGTGTCAAAGGCCTAATTTTGAGTCCCTTCATCAATGTGACATGCCCTGTCCACTCACCCCCATGATGATGGGAGGAAAGGGGCTGGGCAGTTCCTCTTACTGGGGTAGGAGTGGGAATACAATAATATTCAATAATATTCCTCCAGGTGGGCCCTGCTGAGGGATCCAGCAAATGCCTGAAGTCACTATACGCCTAATCAAAGTATCTGCCCAGCACGTGAGACCGAATACATTCAGACCCCTTCGAAGCTTCAGGCTAGAAGACCTCCAAGCCCCTCGGTCATGCAGACTTTCTACGTGGAACAGAAACAGTCCTCCAGAAATGCAGATGAAACAGACAACCAGCTTGCCCACCCCCATAGTCTTAACCAACCCCCTGGGGATTTTCTTGGCTATGTTTCTGGCCCACATCAGTTTCAATTTGAGGAGTTGTGTGAGGACAAAAGGTGAGGGAGCACAGAGTGCGAGGGCCAGTCCCTGCTCAGGCATTTCCTCACCCCGTGGAAGTCTTTGAAATAGCAGGCCTCTTTTCTTCTGTCATTCAACTGTCTTAGGGCTTTCTTGACCTCAGAATCTCCTGGTGAGACTCTGTTCTTTCTCAGGCGGTGATTTATTTTGCTTCTTGGTTGTTTTTGGCCTGTGGGGATGCACATGCAACACACACACACACACACACACGCACACACACACAGCATTCTCTGTCGCTCCACATGTCTGCAGAACTCATAGGCTGCAGGATCTGGAGACAGTCCCTGTCTCCTCTCTCTCCTCTCCCCCTCCTCCTCCCTGCTAAAGCCTGTTGTTGTCTTATCCCCAGCCGGAAGCCCCTCTGTCACAGGGCCAGGTTCCTGGCCACTTGTTCTACTCCAGCTGCTGCTCATGCAGGCTCCAGCCAACTCCTATTTCCATAGCAACTGAAACTCATTTTTCCATCCCTGCAGTTCCACTTTGGAAAGGAAACCCATAATACTCTTTTAAAAGAAAAAAAAAAATTGAGCTACATCTGGCATAGTCAACTTGGACTATACAGAATTCCTAGCTCCCCCCAACTCCCTGGTCCCCTAAAGACCCTCCCTCACTTCCCTCCATCAGCCTCCACCCCTCTGACTCCCCAGGGCTCCTGACTCAAAAGCAAGTCCAAGGAGAAGTCTGTGTGGGTCCTTTCTCTCTGTAAATTAATGCAAGATGACTTTGTGCCTTGGCAACCCAAGAAGAGGAGGTTAGAGGCTGTATTCCATTGCATCAGGTGATGCTAACCCACATCACCAGGGATGCCTGTTTATTTGCCCTCCCCTGGGCTGAAGGGGGTCAGAGAGTGGCTGAATATGTCATGTCATCTCTAAAGATGAGAGTCCTACTCTCCGACTCTCAGGCAGCATGTCTCCAGGTTGTTCGAGCAAGATTTGATGCCTGCACTCCTATTGTGGTGGTTTGGCTGGCATGACACATCCAGGAGCCTAAGAGTATGATGTGAAGGGCTCTCTCCCTTCTCCTACCCCCAGAAAGACTTCCCTTATTGATCGAGTCCATTTCTGATGCCTAAAATTCCACCATTGGCTGTGCATGCATTGGGCTCACACTCTGTTTCCTATTAAAAATGTCAAGTGCATGTTTAAGTTGTGGTCAGCTTGGATACTCCCACGCCTAGCACTATACCTTGCCCATACTAAGTGTTCAGTTAACGTTCGTTGGATTGCATTAATGTTTTAGCATACAGTGGTTCAACAGACAACTTTTTAATCTGACATCTGGGCCTGAAGCACTTCTGGAACCGAACTCTGGATTGGCACATTTCAGCAAGAAGGGAATTTTTTTTTTTTTTATTAACCACTTTTCCCGCACCCTACCCTCCACCACCATCGATATGGATAACTGGGAGTCACATGCAAAGTGCAGGAATCAGTTTCTAGATAGCAGTTTGCTCTTAGGGCTGCTCAGAAAACAATGTGTGCCTGGAAAATAAGGAGTGTCATTAAACACCTCCAAGGGGGAGACACTGTCTAAATATGGGTCTTTATCTCTAAAACATGCTGCCCCCCTCCCGCTCCTGCTGCCTGTGTGAGCTGGGCTTTATGAGTCCCTGGTGATGTGTTTTCGAACACAGTGTGGGGGAAGAGCCCCCAT